GAGCTCTCCCGGCGCTGCCCTGGGGCTGGTGCAAGCGTTCCCCCCAGACGCCGAGCCCCGAGAACCCGCAGCTGGGGAACGCGGGGTTCCCTCGCCCGCGGGAGAGCGCTTGCTGGGTCTCCCCCCGCACGGAGCCAGCGGACAGCACAGGGAAAGGGCAGCCCTTTGCAGCAGGGACAGCGCGTGAGCGGAAAGAGCAAACCCGCAGAGCTTGGTGGCACGAAGCCGAGAGCGTGAGCGCAAGGGGCAGGGACCCAGCTCAGCACCGACGGCACCGGGGCAGCAGGCAGGAGCCTTCTGCTGCTTCGGATTTCCAGAGACAAGGGCTGCTCCCAGGCAGGTTTCTGCTGGGGGACAGTGGGGTGACACCTGCCCTGACACCAGGCACGGGCGTGCTACAGCACCGGGAGCCCTTTGGTGCCCGGGGAGGGTTGGGGGGCCTCATGCTCCAGGCAGCTGCTGCCGCGCTTGTAGGCAGAGGCCCGGGAAACCCAGCAGATCTGGCTTCTCGTGTCCTTAGGTGACATTGAGCAGCGTGAACTCCAAGGGCTCCAGCACAGCCCTTCGCCCACGTGAGGTGCGCAGGGACAGAAGGGCAGCTCTGAAGGTGATGTCTCCTCCCCTCTCTGGAAGACCCACATCCCATGGTGCCACCAGGTCCCTTCTGGCTGCCGTAGTCTAAAGCATGTTCCCTACAGCAGCCAGCCACAGCTGGGCAACCTCTTAATCTCCTTGAAGGACTCTGCTAATTAATAAATGTTCCTCTGCTCCACGAGGAGGAACAGTTATCCCAGGTGTGGGTAGCTCCTGCTATTTTGCTTTCCAGCGAAATCAACAGTCAGACCCTGCCTCAGCCACCAGGGAACAGCCTGGGGCAGGCCAGGGGACTCCGTACCTGGTCAGCAGGAGACCAGGGGCAAGAGGCCTCGGAGGCTTGGGCAGAAAGTCAACTTCAAGTAGCAGAACTGCATTTTGGTTGTGCTAAAGCGGGGGCAGATAAACAAACCAGGGGCCAAAATACAAGCGCAGGGCCCATGGCATGAGGCTCGGCCCCTCCTGCTCCCAACGCAAAGCACAGCGATCAACTCTTAGAGGTTGCTGCGCTGTGTCGCCGCGCAAGGAGCGGACTTGGCCGTCTGTCAAGCAAGCTCTTGGCAGCCCCATTAGCTGCGCTGGCAGTCGAGCCCCACACGCTACAGTGGCTGAGGCAAAGGCAGTCCCTCGTCCAGCAGCGCCTGCTGAGACCCCGCTGCCGGGCACTGGGCGAGAGGAAGGGCTTCCAATTCTTACACAGAGAGCACAGCGGTCTCACTAGGAACCATCCTGCAGCTGAAACTGGAGAAAGAAGCAAGCTGAGCAGCAGCAAAACATCTTCCCTGTTTATTTGCGAGAAACATTTTGTTTGAAAAAATTGCTTTTAGTCTTGATCCCAGTAACACTGCAATCAACAAACATTGTTAAACCAAAGTTCAGACAGGCTGAGCAGCCCCCGCTACACAGAAGAATGAAGAAAAGATTAAAGAGCAAACTATTTTAAAACTAGATTGCAACATTTGCCTCAAACATCTTAACCAGTGTTTGAATATGTTAAAGAAGAAAACAAAATCAAGTGAAGCTGATGGTTCATCTAACAGATGTCTCAGCTCTTAACTTCCACACTCAGGTAACTTGTAGCCAGCGTCTCTAATTGTGAAATCATAATGCATAGCAATGCAGAAACCTTCCCAAGCAAGGTCAGCCCCGCTCGTGGTGCTCGGGTAACAAAACAGCAGCGATATTAGTGATGCCCCGGGAGAGGCGGAGAGGGTGGCGAGGGGTTTCAAAACAACGTGTCCGCCCCGTGCGCTGGCTCAGGGGTTCCTGCGCTGGGCCAGAAGTTACTGCCTTCAGCCTGGGAAGGTCTCCTCACCTCGTCGGCTGCGCAGGCCCTGTGCTCCCACGTGGCCAGGCTGCGGTTGCTGCGTGTCCCCGTTTCTTGCAGCCCTGCGAAGGCGAGGGCTCAGCGGCACCGAGGGTTAACACGAGGAGTGAGGGGCACAGCCAGGGAATACCAACGGGAGCCAGAAGTCTAATGGGAGCTCGCACTACGCTGTCACAAACCTGCACTCGGCAATGACAAATGACTAACGAGCGAGGAAGCCACCCTCGCCAAGCTGCTTGGCGTGGAGGGAACGCCACAGCCCACCAAAAAACCCAGCCGGTGCTGGCGGTGCTGCCAGCTGACTAAAGCACCCCAACCCAGCGCTTGCTACCCTACAGTGAAACGTGAAGACGAAGAAAATCGCTCTGCTAAACAAAGGTGCCGGTGGTAACAGCTGCAGAGATTTTAATTCTTCCCTCTCCCGTAACAAGAGCGCAGGCTTGCTTGAAAGCACCCTCTGCGTCGCCAGTGACGGGTACCGCTCTCTGCAGCAACGAACACCCATGGCTGAGCCACCGCACCCAGCCCCCAGCTACTGCAGCCGGGACTGCCCCGGGACAGGCAGGAGCAATGGGCTCAAAAAGCACAAGCCCCAAGGACCAGAACCAGCGAGAGTCCAACAGCTCTCCTCTAACAGCACAAACCAGTCAGGCGCAGTCCCAGGACCAGACCGGATCGATCCCTACAGCTTCAAAACCTCATTTCCTCGCAGTCTGTTCATCTTGCATCCAAACGAAGGGAACGCATCAGAGGGTGGCGTCACCCAAGAGTTAAGCGTCCGGCCATCGTACGGCTCGCAACAGTGGCCGCAGCTGGCACTGGGCCGTGCCCTTTGAGGCACGCCATGGGGAGCATCCCGCTGTCAGCTGTCCCCGTGTGTGGTCCCAGGCGGGCTCGGAGGGAAGGAGCCGTTGGGAGAGCGGGTGCAGGAGCAGCCCGGGAAGGGGAAGCCTGGCTCGGAACACCAGCTGCGTGCGAGACAGACAAGCCGGAGGGTGGCCTGTGCCGTGACACAGGCGAGCGTGAGGCAAACCCCGTGCCTGGCAGAGCCGGGAGGGCATGAGGCTAATGCCTCGGTACTCAGGAGAGCAGCAGGCTCCAGGGCTGGGGCCCGAGGAAGACAGCTGATTGCCCAGAAAAATAAACTTAGCAGCAGTCATGACTACATTCAGCGAAGGAACATTCCCTCACATTCAATAGTGTTTAATCTTCATCTAGCGCAACACAAATCAGTAGTGCAGCAATATAAATACAACGGAGGAAGTTAAAGCCTTTTGGCTTTCATAGCTCAAGAAAAAGCCAATGAAACAAGTTTCCAGTTTTTAAGTTAAACACAAAGAAAGGCAATAAACTGCTCACCCATCCACAGAGGAGCAGTGGCATCCTTCATGCCAGCAAGATGCTGATTTCTGCCTGAGGACGGGGTGTAACTCATGAAAGCAGCACAGTGAGATAAGGGAGTGGGCATGGGAAAGGACCACCACACGCCTGCCTCCCAGAGCCCAGGCAGCAGAGACACAGGGCCACTCGCTGATGGCACTCACCACGTGATGCCCTTGGGTACCAAGAGTTCCCTTTTCCACGACTAGAGAACACCAAGCGTGTACTTAGCTCTGCATTAGGAGCACACAGGGCTCTTCAGCCGTAACAACAAGGGGCCACTAAGCTGCTGGCCAGAGGGAGCAGCCAGCTGCTGGGAACTGAAGATACCAACCTGTTTGCCTGGGTTGTGCAAATTTTAAGAAAACAAACAAACAAACAAACCCACATTTCATAACTGAGATATGGTTAATGTCCAGACTCACGGACGGCTTGGCGACCAACAGAAGGTGCTGGGGCCACTGAACAACATCTCACAGCTTTGGAATTAAGCCAGACATTAGACACAGGTAGCAAAGGTGGCTGTCCCCTCCTGGCTCTGGTACTCAGCAGGAGAGCTTGCTGCAGGAGGGGGTCTCCTAGCCCAGCCAATTACCACAGACAGGTCAGCTTTCCACATCTGAACAGGCACCTTGTCATCAACACTCCCAGTGAGAAAAGCCTGACAGTAATTTAGAACAGCTACAAAACCCTCTCCTACCTGCAAGCTGGTGGAATTGTGACCGCAGTGTTTAGATTCCCCCTCCTCTACACTCCAAAAGCAGTCAAGTGCACGTGAAAGTACAAGTCTAAATTCAAATAGTGCTTAAACCATTAGGGAAGTGAAAGTAAGAGAGAAGAAAGCTGCTTGACAGCAAAAGTAGCCCGTGGTAGGCTACTAGAGCCGGACGGTTGCTCAGAGCACAGTTCAAAGCACAGCTTTGACCTTCCTTCTCTGAGGACCTCCCAAGGCAAGTGAGCTGGAAGTCCATGGACGTTTCCTCCACTGCAGTCTGAGGTGGGCTAGGAGGCTCCTGCACATTCATAGTCACTCCAAGTGGTTCTATCCTGCCGCTCTCCAGATGCCAGCTCTGTCTTTTCTGATGCTACGCCTGGGGTTCACAGTTGCCTTCTCCTCCCTTTGATTTCCCTTGAAGTTCAAATTCAAGTACAACCAGTTTTAACTGAATGAAAAGAAACCCACAAAAACAAAGTTATTTTCTGTGAAACAAGTTAGCAGCATTGTCCTAATCAAACTGGCCTCCAAAGGCCCTTGTAGGATAGGGATGGGGGTGGCCTCTCCCACTGAGCTCCAGCAAAAGGCCACCTGAGGGCAGCTATAGGATTTCCTCCCTCTGGTTCTTGGGTTTGAGCATCACTTGTCCATTGCGCAAGGAGCCATTCTGGCTACGGAGCAGTTTCCCTTTTTCACGGTCAGGCCACGTGAAGATGGCTTCATCGCTGTCCAGTTCAGACTCCGAGTGCATCAGGCTGGTGTTGAGGACCTGGGCTTTCTGTCTGCCACCTTTGAAGGAGAGAGATTCCCAGGTTAAAAATACTTTTAATACTGGTCAACCTCCTCATCTTGCTCTATTCCCTCTTTAAGTCTCCTTTTCCTATCACGTCAAAGGGGCAGCCTAATCACACTTTCCTGTGTCTGGCACTTATTCCTTCAAATACTGAAGCCAAAGTGATCCTGTTTCAGCTAGTCTGGCATGACAGAGGGCACACGGACACTTCAAGATAGTGCAAAGCACAACATAGAGGTAGGAAAGCAAGTTACATTACCAAAAGGGGCTGTGAGTATACATGGGAGCTTTGTCTCCCTGACTTTGCTTGGGGCATTGCCTAGAAAGCTCTCTGAGGGCTAATGGCTGTAGTAAAGAGAATATGCAGGTTTGTTAGGGAAGATCACTGTGTTCTTACTACCCTCCCTACTCTCATCTCTGCTTCTCTTGCCTGCAAGGGAAGAGAGATAAATTAGCAGTCTGAATTTAGATTAATGCACAAGGACAGGAGAGAGACATTTACTGATATTGCCAGCAGAGGAAATACTTAAATTTAGCTTTTCCTTAATGGAGAAATGCAACATTTTCTCTGTTAGCAGAATGCTCCCTGGACATACCTAGCAGGAAAAAAGACTTTAGTCAGCAGTCAGCCTCAGAAGAAGCAAGATGAGTTTAGTTACCAGAGAGCAAACGGTTGAGGCACATTTGCTACAGACTGCAGAACAATGAACCCTTTATTTAACAGTAGGGCTCCTCTGTGCAAGGTGACAGATGGTCAGATTAAAGCAGAGTTGGGTGCTGAGGGAGGAAAACACACCCGGTTTTCCTTCAAGGGTATCTGTATTTGCGCAGTTGGGATGGCCCAGTTCTCAAAGGAATTGTCTGATCAGCTCTGTCACTGCAATGCCCTCCACTGCTGTCGTTAGGCACTGCTCTCTTTGCTGGAACACCATTAAACGGAGTGGTACTAGGATGAGCAATTATTTTCCACTAGCAAACAAGGATCAGGGACTATTTTCCTCACACAGTTAGAGCAACCCTGCTTCTTAACACAAACGGGACAAGCCCTCGGATTTGAAACGCGTATTTCAGCAGCCGAAGCGCTCCCCAGCCTGCGGTGGGGCTGTGCTTTGCACATGCTTTCCCAGGTTTCCTGCTCAGTCAGCAGGTGACCACGGCTCGGTTCAGGTATCAGATACAATCGCAGCAAAAACGCTCCAGCCTGAAATAACTCAACGATCTTTGCAAAGCACCTGACAAGCACTCTCGAGGACAGCAATGCAGACAGGAAAATGCTGGCTAAGAACACTGATGACAAATTAGTGCCTTTCTGGAACGGGCCAATGGGCCAACGGGCCTGTAGCCACACACGGGTCTCCACACTACAATAAGCATCTGCTTCCTGGAAAAATTAGAGGATGAGCTAAAATGTGAAACTTTCAGGGCCTGATGTTCACAAGGACAAGAAAGAATAAATTTATGAACATGTCATTTGGGGTTTGAGAATACGGGGGCACAAATAAACATTGCTCTCTCCAATTCATGAGTATTTTCAGGTTGCTTTCAGGTGTCCCTTTGCTTACTAGCCAAAGTTGCTCTGTTTAGTGACAAATAACTCATGCTTTGCTGTAGAGCGAGGCCAAGGAATTGCATATTGGCAAAAAGCGAACTACCAGAACCCAGTGGAAAACTTTAGAGCACGAGAAGTTATAGTCAACACCCAGCTGCGGGCTTCCTGGATCAGGCCAGTCTCTGCACAGCTTACATGCATTCACTTGCTACTACTGTGGTGGAAGTGGAGACATCTGGACCAGGCCAGTTTCAGCCCCAATTTCTAAACCAAAGAGTTAGATAACTTGACTAAATATCTTATCTAAAGATCTGAAACAAGCTCTTAGGTCTTCTGAGACTCATCCATCGGTGCCTAACATCATGTTTGTTTCACTCTTATTTTAAGTCCACCAAGGAAGAGTGGTTTTAGTCAGCATTCTGGAAATGCTAAGCTCTTCCCTCTCATGTTTTACCTGCTTTGGGATTTGGTTTTAACTCCAGGCTTTCTTGATCCGTTGCATCCAAAATCTTGTATTTGCTTTTTCTTTTGGATTTTCCTTTTCGTCTAAAGGGGAAGAAAAGGAATTAAGAGTCCATTTCTCAAAAAAAATCCAGAAGAAAAAACTACTCTGATCTCAAAGCTAGAGTACTTGTTTATTTCAGATTATGTTCATATCGGAAAGCAAAACATTAAAAACATCACTTTAGTTGTACATTTACAGGCTAAATCCAAATCTGGCTTCTTAACTGAACCCTGAGTTCTAGGACTTCAATGTTTCACTTGAAACACTGAGTGACAAAAAGGAACATCCCAAGGCTAAGCAGATGACCTGCTGGGATGATGGGTTTGAATCTTTCACCTCCTAATGCTGCTACTTGGCCCTGAAGCACTGATATAGTGGGGGTTATGGCCTCAGTCCCACCTCTTGCAACAGCAGATCACCATCCAGGATAAGATTCCAAAGGCAACCACAATGACGAAAGATGCAATGATCACATACAGCACACTCCACTCTGAAAGCAAAACACCCCAGAGATAAAGACGTTTGGCACCTCATACAGTTGACAGTGTGCGCTTTAGATGACTATTCTTGGGAAAGAAAAAGAAAGGCCTGACACTTTGCAGAATTAGAGGCTAGGACCATCACTGACAGCACCACTAACTCACCTGCGGAAGCCAGAGGCTTGAGATCCAGCGTGCAGACTCGCTGCACAATGACATTTTTCAATGCATGTCAATTTATAAAATTTGCTTTCCTGTGGCAGGAAAGCCTCTGTAGGGACACGACAGGAAAGAGGTGTCATTTATACCCTAAGAATGGACTCAACTCTTAGTGAGTGTTCACCAAGAGGGTCTGAAGAGGAGCCTCTTCCCTATCAAATATTGCCTGCCCAGAAGGTACGTGTAGTGAGATCAGGACGGGGACTATCTCCTTGTGCAAGCATCACGTCAGAGATACTGGGAGAAAGCAGGTACCTGTTACTCTGCCTGCCCTGGGTTTCAAATACTGTTTGCTTTCCGAAGTGGGCTGCACGTACCACAGTTGCTTTCGCCGTCCCCCATCTGCACCCGGATGAAGTTCTCCATCCAGAAGGGGTCACAGACGCAGCGCTTGGTGAAGGAGTCACAGCGACCGTGTTCAGAGCAGTTCAGCTGACACGCTAGGGACCAAAACCAGCAAGGTGAACTAAATGACTCACACATGAAGCAAAAATGGGACAGTAGAGTTCAATACAGCCAACCCCCATAGCATCTAACTTCAATCTCGTCACTCTGAAGTTCATCCTCTTAGCTTAGTCATAAGAAGTGCAAATGTAAGCACCTAGGTCTCATGCCAAATCAAAAAGTCCCGCTTCACTAACAACGTAACACACAACGTGCTAAGAAATTTTTGCCTAATAAATCATGATTTTGATATCAAAGTTATGGAATTTGTATATTTGTTAAGTAAATGTTTTTAAATAAGGTTTTGATTTTCAAAGGCAAACTCAGTCTGTGAGACAGACTACAAGAAACAAATAGATCCTTTAAAGTGACCAAACAGAACTGAGGAGTGGCTTTCGAAGGCCACAAAATCATAAGATCAAGAAGCCATGAAAATAATTACTTTACATAATTCTAGTTTAAAATATCTGATGAGCACATGATCCTCATAGAATGGAGCTCATTAAAGAAAAACAACACTAATGTAAACTTGTAAAAAAACTGATAGAAGGGAAACATTTCCTTCAGACTGATGTATGTGCTGGAGAGGAAGTGAGTGTTTTCACAGCTACCAAGATCTGTGGTTTTATTGTTTTCATTATGACACTCAATTCGTGGGCTGTATTCCATTAACACTGTATTTTAGTTTCATAAGTACCAATCTGTGTGTGCGCAGGCAGGTGTTTGTAGCATACATGAAGGTCCATTATTCTTACAGACATCTAAGAAGTGAAAAGATGTTAACTCATACCACAGTGACTCTTACTTACTGACTGTGTTAATTTCTAACGCCCGGAAGATGAGGAAGTCTGACTGTTGTTTCCGTAGTTCATTTTTTAGTGTCCAGGCTACCTCTCGTCCTTTGAATATCTGATGAGGAGGTTGGTTCTGTACAAAAAACACCATCTTCGTGCTGGAAGTCAGACAAAAATGATTATCTGCTGCTTCTCCAAAGATCAGTTAGACAGCCATTCTCCCCAGTCTGTTTGCAATTTATTCAGAATCCCAAGTTTATTTGAAGGCCAGACTTCTGGCTCTATCTTGGAAAGCAATAATGGTAGACCTGGTCATACAGTAGAAAACCTTTCAGGACATCTGATACATCCATATTTTCAAAGTTAGGGCTGGACAGCTCTTGAGTTTGCTAATGGTTTGCTAATCAAGCACATCTTTGCATGTTCATGCTAAGCAGGGCAAATCCCCAAACTTTAAGGTCCTGCCTTTTTCATAATCTCCTCCCTCCCTCACGGTGGGATCCTTAGACCTTACTACACGTGGAACTTAGGGGCTCATTTAATTGCTCACCACAGAGCTTGGCATCAGAGAAGACAGTGAAGGCTTACACTCTTTTGCAAAGCCTATTTTGAATGCGCAAAGTGTTATAGCCAGAAAAAAGCACAGGTGTAGAGATACTGTATTCTGCGTCTTTTATTGCGTTAACTTTATGAGAGAAGAACTTGCCCCCCTAGGCTTGCGAGCCGTGCCGAGCCCTTTGTACCCTTCAGAATCACAAAAGGATGCATGGATGTTTCAGATTTATTATTACCAGTGAGCCTATGAGTCAAAAGGATATTAGTGAAGCCCCCAGAGTACGTGAAAAAAACAGCAGCTGGGGGAAAACAGTACAAGTTACTTTGATAGCTGAGGTAAAAATCGGATCTTAAAGCCATCTGTCAGAAAATAATCTCTGTTCTTTTATAACACCTCCCACTCTTGTCTACTTAATAAACAGATGAAGTATTAATTACAAGAATCCTCTATTTGCCTTACTCGGTGAAGAAAAGCAGCAACTGGCCTGGTCATGGCAGAGATAGAAAGGTAATATTACAACAGAAAGTGCTGGCTCTTCTGTTCTGAGCTCTTAGGTTTGCACAGACAATGAATTCTGATTTTACTGCTACAGCAGGCAATGTGGACACAAAGGAGTCGATACATTACTAAACTCAGGAAGTCTAGAGTATAACTGCAGATTCATTGCTGACTTGCTGCATGACTTTAAGCACGTCCCTTAAATCTTTTTCAGTGCTTTATCTACCTTAAAACTACTCCCTTTTTCGTAAAAATTAAGTGCAATATTGCACTTATTTCAACAGACTACCACTCTGCCCTTGATAAGCTTGTTGCCATGCCACTCACATGCATGTTCAGGCATCCTCAAACACACCTACAGTAACGATGGACTGCTGTCAGCACGGAGGGGACACGTGCAGCTGTGACAATGCTACAGCACCACTCGCTGAAGTTTTCTGCGGAACAGAAATTCCACAATTCCCAGACCAGCCATTTGTGCAGAGGTGGAAAGCTCAACTTGATCAGGTACTTTCATGCCAAAGCAGCATGGCCAGGATCCAGCTGAGCTGAACCACCCCTTGTACCACTTGCTGATTACTGTACTTGGAGCTGAGCAGCACTGTCCAGGCAGGCAACATGACCCTGACCTACAGCCCTGCCTATAAGCAAACTTGCACTTGTTTAGAAGAGACCAGCTGTAGATTACTCTTAAGTTAAATAGCAACCAAAACCAAGTTTTCCTTATCTCAAACAAAAACTACATTGGTTTTCAACATTTTATTTTACATCAAACTGAAGCAGTTGTGTAGGCAGTAAAGCTAACATAAAACAACAAAGGACTACTACTAAGGGAACTGCTACACCACCTCTGGTGTGGCATCAGTGTTCCACCAAACTAGTCCTGTACCAAGCCCTATTATTTGTCCAAGTATAAGTCACAGCTGTAGAACATCCTTCACATAGTCTTTACAGTTTTCAAAACCAAATCAGATTAGCTCTTGTTTTACAGATTTGCAGGGCAAAGACATTAGCTGCAGAAAACAGCTTTTGAGGACAATGCAGCATCTCCAGAGGGGAAAGACACCCAAGACCTGCTTGGCAACACACGTTCTCTGACCTGAGCAAGCAGGAATAACAATTTTAAGCAACATCTCCGCATGTTTCGATTGTCCAATCAGCCCTTGGTTTACTAAGCTCTCAAGTAATTCTCCTCCATGTACGCTCACAGACAAACCCTACCTTTGTTCGGTGTACGGCTGGATCTTCTGCACAGTAATGTCCGAGTCGAGGACCCCCAGCAGAACGCCTATTTGTCGGATGAACATGCCCTTCTGCCTCTCAGTCAGCTGGCTGACATTAACATCCAGAATTATCTCCACAAGGTTATTTTTCCTAGGATCTGGTGAGAATGTAGATAAAACAGACCTTTAGAACTGCTACTTAACAGTCTGTACAAGTCAGGTTTCTAGTATCTTTCCAGAATGTTCCTGCTTTGAACACAAAAGTACAGAATCTCGGTGTAGGAAGGGATACAAGTCCATGGCTTTCACAGGTAATGGCACGCAGTAAGAGTCAGCCCCCAAGAACACATGAAAATACAATCACATCCCCCAAAACTTTTGACTTTTTACAGTTCTGAGCTGGACTAGACTATACACTTTATCTCAGTACACTGTATCCAAACAGAGGGCTTGCTAGTGCACTGTAGGCAAATGTGGTACAACACAACCCAGACTGACCAGGTTTGACTTCCACTGTGGTCCTTTCCACATCACTCTCTCCTTTGGCATCTGTTACTCTGAGGTGGAACGTGTAGGTCCCTTCTACCAGATTGGACAGGAGGAGGACAGGATGATGGTCTGAATTATTTAAGACTTCCTGGAAGGCAGAGCAAAATAAGTATCAGGAAACAAAGGATCAAACTAGCACAATATATCATACTTAAGGATATCACTAAAAGTGATAGGTGCAATAATGAGCTTTACATTTCCTCAGGAGTTGTGGATGCTACCTGCCACTGACTTTTGTGATGCTGCAGACTGCCGTTTAAAAAAAGAAACCTCACCCCAGCTGCAGGGCTCCCGTCATCCCGGGTCCACAAGTAGCTCACAATTCCCTTATCATCAGAGGACTTCGATCCATCCAACTCAGCTGTATTTGTGGGCAAAGTGATGACAACGTTGCCAGCAATCTTTGCAACTGGTGGCTTGTTTATCTCTAAGCAAACAGGGAAAAAAAAAAAAAGCTGTTGGAGAAAAATTTGGTAATGCACAGTCAAAAACTACTGCATTACATCTCCACTGTAAACCAGAAATCCTTATGTAACCGTGGGGGAGAAGGAAAATAATGTACTGCAGGGTTCAGCTGAAGATAGTGTTCCTCCAGAAAAGGGTAGACCCCTTACTTAAAGAAGGCCATTTCAGTGCTCTCCACATTAAGCTTCTCCCATTCCTTACCCTTAGCATGCCTCTGAACACAGGTTTTTCTGAACTGCTCAGAGATAACCTGTGCCTCAGGCAGCTCCGTGCATGGCTGGACATACCTTCCTTGACAATAACGTTGACTGAGCTTTGGCTCTGCAAGTTCCTCTCATCTTTAACTGTCAGAGTAAACTCATAGGTCCCAACTTGAAGGCCTGTTACAGTGGCAATGCTGCTGTTGGCATTCTCCAGCTTGACACCATCTGGACCCCTAACCAAAGCACAAGAGGATCAGTTTAAACTTTGCATAGACCATGGGAGTTAACCTCACACCAAACAGGAGGCTCAAGCTGAAGCAGAGTTTATGGGGATGCAAACAAACAGTTGCCTGGAAATAAAAAGTCCATGACAAAAAGCAAAATTATTTTCTCCCATTACAGCAAGGAAATCAAAAGAGTAAGTGCAGCACTCGGAACAAAAAACAATTTCTGGTGGTTTATGGGTTTTGGTTATTTTTAAATCAGGGGACCACCAATACCTGCATTTAAGTAGGGTTTACAAAAAGTGATACTTTCAGCAAAATTGTCTCATGGGAATTGCACAATAAGCCATTTTTTAAAGAAAACGTATAGAGCAAAAATAGTTCCTTCATTTGTAAGAGCTTTGTACAGACTTTGCATAAGCAAACAGAAAAAGCTACTACAAGTTGCTCATAAGCTTTCTCCTGCATTCCCCAAGTACTTCAGGGAATTTAGAGTCTGAAGGGAAACATGACAACAAACAGAACACTGCCACATTCAAATATACTGCAAAAGCATCAAGTTAGAAGGCCCTGCTGCTGTTTGATTACAAGAGTCAGTCTCTTCATAAGACCAAGACACATTACACTGCTGCAATTCGAACATGGCCAGTCGTCTTTACATGCCACAACCACTTTGAGAACAGGAATCAGACCTAGAAATTATGGCAAAGCTGTATCTAATGCTCAAACAAAACTCCACCTCTCTCCAATTAAACGTAAACCCTTGTCTCATTCTAATCACCAGTGAAGCTTGATGTGACTAGGATTTAACACAAGGGAGGTATGTGGGAGGGTGTCTTGTTTTAAATGAAAGACCCAGATACTTGCATAACAACAGTCTGGAAGATGATACACACCGTGTTTTTTCCCAAAGAAAGGAGACTATCTTCTGGTCATCTGAGCTCTTGCTGCCATCTAGAGTGGTGCTGTCTACAGGAAGAGTTAATTCTTTATCTGGACCAGCATCTGCCTTTGGGGGCTTATTGTTCTCTGAAAAAGAATTGCAATATTTTCAATACACATGCCATAGAAGGTGGCGCTTAAAACCCCAGCATTAAGAAGTTTAGTATTGATCCCTAGTGTATTTCCTGCCCTTATCTCAACCTTGTACTCTGAGCAAGTGAGGTTAAAAGCAGTTAAGAGTTCAGATCAGTGTTTCATTCACGCATCTGCAATAAAACAAGAATGAAATCTAGAAGCTCTGATTTTTGCTCTCATTCTCTAAGCATTACTCCACTTTTCCTGCTCCTGTCCCAGGACCAAGCACCAGGGGCAGAGACAGCTGCTTGGAAATACAATCCTGCCATTATGGTGGGATCGTGTCAGTTAGACTACGTTGTGTAAAATAGAAGAACAGCCTAGAAAGGCAATATTCCTAGAAACTTTCTTTTGTTGGTTTATCAACAATATACCAGCCCAGAACAGTCATGAATTAGAGCAGCTTTTCTGAAAGCAACGGAAAGCTACCATAACACCTAGAGTATGTTGACAGATTGATGCTCGCCTCTAACCCCTGGAATGGAAGTGGGAAAAGCACCTAAAGGCAGCTTACCTGGCTGGACTATCACAGTGACCTCTGCAGTGGACTGGTGCCCAGCAGAATCAGTCACTATTAGCTGGTAAGTGTAATCACCTTCTTGCATTGCAGAGAGCTGTAAAACTGGTGTCCTCACCCCCTTTGAGAAAACATAATTCAAGTATTAAGAAGAATCCTTACACAGATGATGACAGACCTGAAGACTCTGCTTCTAAAACAACTATTATCAGCAGATTCTAGGGGCTTATTATTAACTCCTGCTATGGGGCCAGAAGTCTGTGCTACTTAAGCATGCAAACAGCTAAATTTATGCACAGCAACAAGGACACTGTTGTGGAACATAACAAGAGTAAGATCACATAGGTGTTGAGACCTTTTGAGACTCAATAGTTAGCAACTCGAGCAAAACCTCTGGGGAGCTCTGTGCAAATTATACACATTGAGAACCTGATTCATGGACTTTCTTATTCCATATATGTGACAGCAGTAATAGTCTTTAAAAGAAATATGATGACATGGAAACAAGTTCCAGCTTTTACTGTTTAGGATTGAGGAGTGTCTGGCTGGTATCAGCAAAGTTTAGACTCCAAGGTTCAACTAAAAAAATCCAGTCCATTGTGTTTGCCCAGATTACAAAATGCATGACCTGGCACAACGGGTTATCCTGCACATCTAAACGCCATCCTGACTGATAGTTACCTAAAAGATCACACAGTCTGGCTCCACACCTGCTGACAGCACTGAAGCATCCCTATTATACCATCATTGATCTAGCTATGACTGATGTTCTGAGAAGTCAGTAACTGAACAAAGAAAGGACACACTTCCCTAGCAGCCACACAGGTTAAAGTGAGATACATGGGTGTGATCAAGTTGTGTTGAGACCTGTTATATGTGACATCAGAATCCAAAGCCACCAAGTTCCCATCTCTCTCACCCCTCCATTCTTGAGCAGCATTTAAAGCTGCATTGCTCAAGAAAGGAAACAGGATGCCAGTGAAAACCTGTGGCTAGACCGGTGCATCAGCTCAGCCACTAACTGAATACCAGCTTCACGTGGATTTACTTTTAAGTATATATTTAATCATCACATGCTTGCTCTGTACGATTATAAGAAATATTTTCTAACAGTCAGTTTAAAATGGTTGGACTACAGAAAAGAAGCCAGCTAGTGAGTAATCCAGAGAACTGCACTGACCTGCATCTCCATCACCTTCCCCTTGCTGTTAGGGCTGAGCAGCCACTCATAGCTGACAATGCTGTGATCATCGGTGCTCTGATTCCCGTAGAGGGTGATGGAGTTCTGAGGCAGGGTAATCACTTGATTTGGGCCTGCATTTGCCACTGGAGGATAATCCACTGCTTTGTTCACAGTCAAGCTTGCAGTGGTGGAGCTGCTGGCACCATCCGAGTCCACTACTGTTAGACTGAAAAGAAAAAAAGTGAAAGCAGTGAAGAGTCATGATTATCAGAGCTGAATACAAAACACTGGCTGGAGTTAAATTAAATGCAAAAGAAGAGTTAGAAACTTAAGACAATTTCAAGGACCGGACAGTAATTTTTTTCAGGGGAAAAACCCCAAACCCACCCCCAAAAAACAACCAAGTGTGGTTTGAGGTAACTGTGCTTTTTCTGAATAGAAACATCCCTCAAATGCCCAATTATCAGCCTCAAAGCAATGCAAGAAAATCAACAGTCATGTTCATCTTTCACTTGAAATCTACCAACTAGTTCCAAGATAACACTGAGTATGACACTGTCTCCCAAAAGGAGACGTTCATTAACATGGACACAGAAGTTCATTACTAACCCACAACTGGCCTGAACACCATATGCCTCCTCAGGTAGGCCAGTACCAGAAAATAGAACTGCTTTTTGCCAAATCTAGATCTGAACATCAACTGCTTAAGAGGAAAAGAGTGTTCAGGTTATAGACACTCAGGTTTATTTTATTTTAAATAGACCTGCTGATGCAGTGCATGGACATCACACCAAAATGCAGACTAAAGGAAAAACATTAAAGTAAAACCAGCTACTATCTATTTATCACGTATGTGCAGAAAACCATTAGGTCTCTTCATTTATCTGGGACAAACACATTGCATTTAAAAACTGGATTTAAAGACTGCATTTCTTCCTAAGCCTTTACCCAAACAGTTTAGATTCGACGTTTCAAGAGACATTTTGTAGCTCTTGCAGACCATATGTTCCCATCTTAAACCAGTGCTACAACTTAAGAATAAAAAGTAGCTGGATAGCTTCTCTATTCTGAAGCAAAAAGCTATGAAACTACCTGAAAGTGTGGGAGTGAAGAGAGAGAGTATATCACAAAATAGAGTTCTGTCCACAGTGTGTTGTTTGTTGGGTTGTTTGTTTTTTTTTTTTATTAAATCAGACTAACACTTCAGGAATCTTATACATTTTACTCTTAAGGGATGAGAACTGATCGACTCTTCCAGGTATAACCTACCTGAATGTGTAATTCCCAGGTACCAAGTTGGTCAGCGTCAATACAGCAGTATCGCTAGAAACCTTTTCCTCCCGCAAAGGACCCTTCAGTTCTTCCCAGTGATAGCTGACAATTTTATCATCATCAGTGCTTTCTGTTTCAATTACAGAAGAAAATGCACATAAAAGGAGTTGCAAAATGCTGCTTCACAAACCCCAGATGTTCAGACCCCCACTTCAGTGCTAGGCTTAGTGAGCAAAGGCTGGTCCAAGCCCAGAGGTCAGACATGCTCAGATACCCAAACTGCATGCTCTCCTCTACCCTATTTCACAGGTATACTTCAACACCCTCAATCCCAGGTTTGCATGTGTACTGGGGAAGACAAAAACCGAAACCAAAACACTAACAAAATACTACTAGTTGTGGGTAAGACAACCTGAACAGATTTAAAGAAACTCCTGAAGTGCTCTAGTGCGGGCCAGGATCAGTAAAGGTGGTGTGTTAGCTAACTAATACCTTGGAAGCTTAATGCAAAGAGGCCAGTAATTTTGACTAACAGTAATTTTTTTATTCTAAGCAGCAACCTTTAGATCTTCTCCTTTTTTAGGAGATTGGCTCAGGCCAGTGCCTCTCAAAAGGAAACATGGAGAGGTGCTGTTGTGTGCGTATTCCACTCTCCTGGCAAGAGAGGCTCATTCTTTTCACTAAAGTGTGTTTGATCGCGTCACAGCCAGTTCCTCTTGAACTTTACCTAAAAGGCCAGCCCAGAACCAAACACACAGAAACCCGGCTTGCTAGACTACTGCATTTAAACCAGCAGGTACTCACGGCTGCCATCAATAACAGTTGAAATGGTTGGCAGTGAAATCTCCTGGAACTGTGGGGACACGATGGCAACAGGAGGCTGATTCACACGAGGCTCTGCAACAAGCACCGAGCTGTTACAATGACATCTACAGGCAGATCATGATAGAAAGCACTGACCAAAGAACTCTGAAAACCACTCTGCCTTTGTCCACCAGGAGCAGCAAACAGAATATAGACTGCACACCCTTTTCCCTCTCCCCAGCCCTATCTGCCCCCTCAGCCCTGCAGTCAGTGAGTCCAGGAGAGGAGTCCAAAGCGTGGAACTGCTGTGCCACACAGCTCCAAGACAGCCACCGATCAGACTGACTGCAGAGAACTGCTCAATCAACAACAGTAATTTGTGCTTTCAGCAAGTTATACACCAATGCAGGGAAACAGTGCTAACAAAAGAGATCTACAAAAGCAAGGAGGTGAGCTGCCACCCTAGTGTTCTGGAAACAGCTGCACCGCATCCGTTCTCCCATACTGAGTCAAGCATTCAAGCACAGACCATTCTAACAGAGCACCTAGAGCTTCTTGCCGAAGTTTGGCTAGTTTGGCCGCTACTCTGAAAAATGAATGATTTGGATGCATGCTGCCAGCTGCAGATTCACTGCTTATAAGGAAATGACCAGCAACAGCTTCCAGAAGGCCAGCCACACACACTTGCTAATTTAGGGAGTATGAAAACACTTTGTCCACAAAGGTCGTAGAAAAAGTCTCGATGAATTGTGCAAAATCAAGGGGTTTTTTTTGCACAAAAGGACATGCAGAACCTGTGGTTCCCTCTTTACACAGGCCATCTAAAGAATGAGACCTGGTGAGAGAGTCAGCACAAGCTACTGTATCTATACGAGCTCATCTGCAAACCACATCTTATGACAGGAATGAGATTTGACTTAACCTGGCTGTGGTTAGGAATGATATTCTTTACTGGACAGGGAAGAAAAGAACCTCCAAATGAGCTTCAAAGCTCTGGCCACCCTTCATTTTTTACAGCTAGTTTTTATTGAAGCAGCGGCCTTCCAGGGCGAGGCATTTGCTATGCACTTTTGTGTCAGTAATCCAGCTCTTCTACTGAGTGGCTGGCCTGCTATAGCAGAAATAGCTACGTGCATTAGCAATAGTTTCACATCTCAGGAAACTACTTAATACACATATGTACATACCGAGTTGTCATGTTCAGGACATGAGTTCACAGCATAACGAATTTTCACTACGTTAAACCAGAGTCCAGTCAAATAAGCAAAACACCATGATACAGGTATCAGGACAGGTAAGTTAAGAAAAGATAGAATTCCACCAACTCACTTGGGTTCACTGTTACATTCACGTAACCCTCTCCACGTGCATTTTCTCCATTAACGACGACTTTGAATTCGTACAGACCAACAGTGAGCTGGAAGTAAACACAAAAGATTATTTGCCTTCAGGATGGTAGCACCTCATCAGGAGCTATCAGAAGGTCAAGTTACCATGTTTTGGCACAACAGCACATTAGCAGCATAAAACACAGGCAATTATGCTTCAACCTATACATACACAGCAAAGGATAGTTTCCATGCTAAAATGGTATTATGTATCTTTTAGTTTACAATGGCTATGCAGAAACCAAAGACTAATATTTCTTTCTACCGCAGGTGCCACAGCATTGTCAGTCAAGCTTTATTTTCTAGCAACAATAGGCAAACAGAAGAGAGATAACAGAGATTAGTTCAGGTTGTCTGGCCGCAGGAATCTGTACTAGCAGATTGCATTTGAGATGAGAAAGCCTGCACGTAGGAGAAGAAAAATCTCTTCTTGTGTGGGTTTTTGTTTTTTTTTTTTTTTTTTTACAAAGGAAAGTATTTCTTCTCTTCCTTCTAGGTGACATGAGTCAGGCAGTCACCCCTTCATCATTCACTGGTGAAACAAGATGAGAGGGTGAAGGACATTGGATGTTGGACAGCAATCACGGTATCCAAAAGGCTGAAACCCTGACAGAGACAGGCACGCTCCTTTCAAAGGGCTTTTCTCTCGTGACTAAAGCCTGTAGACTTTTTTTTTTTAAATGCTGTGGAATCCAAGATACTCAAAGGAATGTCTCAAATACAGAACAATATTCACACAATATTTAAAAGACATTCCCTTGTTAAGAATGCCCACGTGGAGAAACCACCGATCCTTTCACTGTTAGAGCTTGTCAAAAAGCAGCAGCCAGGGACACGTTATGAGGTACTCCATACCTCTAGTTAACGGTATCAGCAAGTCCCTTTTCCAGTGGTTAGTGCAAGGCTTCAGACCTGAACAGACCACCACACTATTTCAGTAGGAGAAATATTCACAACCCTTTGTTAATGTTAAATTGTGCCATTTGTATGGCTTGACACACTGCTTGCAGGCAGCTTTTAGATCCTGAAATCAGTTTCTTCTTTCCCTCATACCAGATCAATCTCCTTTTTGTAAGAGACTTAGAAGAGGGCTTGCAGTCAAATGTTGGCTGCCTGCCCATCATGCAATTTCCTATTCATCCTGAAATCACATACAAGTCTTTCCTGGCTGCCAGGGTCCCCGTCTTCTCCACTTAGCATTTAACACAACAGGATACAAAACAACAAAAGCTTTACCTTAGATAACTTAAGGGTCTGGGAGCGCTTCCCTTCCATTTCTCCACTGTAATCTTTTGGATGAGTAATCAATTCCCACTCATAGGAATAAGTGGTTCCTTAAAAAAAACCCAAAAGGTCCAGACTTCAGTTTTTTAAAAACTGCCTTTCTGCCATGCTAAAGAAAAGCTAAGGTATTAAACATTTACAAGGCACATTCTATTGCACTATGGAGAAATGAGGAAGCTTGGAATTTGGGCTACAGCTTTTTGGGAATATACCCAGGAAAAGAGAAAAATCTGTGCTTCTAAACACATTTACTCTGGAGCCAAAACCCATCTTTCAGCCTCTAAGGCATTAAAGAGCTTTGGAACAATCACAGCTCCAGGATTATGAAAGAGAAAAGTCTTATGCCCTCAAATCCTGCAGACACAACATAACGCCAATTTTCAAAGAGGAATGCATCTATCCCTGCTGCTGCACAACACATAACATGCCTTCCTCTCCTCTGCAGTCTCCCACCGCCACTGCGGGCAGAGCTATAGATAAGAACTTTATAAATACTTGTGAACAATTTGCATGATGAAATGAGGAGTGTATAGAAATGTGCTCCTCTGTGTCAACCCCCTAAATCAGATTTCAATCCACTAAATGAGAGGTCACTTGCTGAGACAGCTTGTCACCTATTAAAAATATCCTGAATAGATGCTGAAGATCCGCTGCTTCCTCGCATACCACTTTGAGAATATGCCATCTCCCTAATCTAATGACTTTGTAGTACTTTCAATGTTCTTTGTGTCTTTCTATTTTCTCTGAGAAGCAGCATGAGGTAATAGCACAGGATGAAAAATTTCTACAGGAAAGTGTTCTCTGACAAAAGACATTTTCAAAATTGTCCTTGTTTAATGCTGTATATAATGCCTATTAGCCATTTCATCATCACAAGCCCTTAGCAGAATTCCCACGGAAGCCTTACGAGGTGGTGGCTCGGGAAGCACAAACGCATTCAGCTGAACTTCATTCTTTGGCAGGGTCACTTCGACGCTGTCTCCAGCGGAAACTACCAGCTCCTTCATAACTGAGAGGAAGAAACACAGAATTGAAGCAGGAACAGGAAAAAAAAATTAAATACGTCCATAAAAGCCACCTTGGTTTCAGAGTCTGTGGAATAAAAACCAGGTACAAATGGTTGTATTTTGTAAACATCCCGCCACTCAACACAGCTCCCATTTCAGGTTTCGCTCTTATTGTTAATGCAAAAGCACTAATGGGGTTTTACAATTTTAAGACAAGCCCAAAATTACTCAATCATCTCTCTCTCTTTGCAGATACTGTGCAGCTCCTGCTCCTTTTCTAAAGAGCTGAAACGTGACCCTCGGGCCCTGTACAGGGGAATGTATTCACCCAGCTCCAGCAGGGTTGGAAGGGTTTTACCTGACAGCTTTTCGGCAGAGAACCCAGCTGCAGTCTCATGGCACAGCAAGACAAACACTGCTATTTACCAAACTGCAATTCCAGATCTTCACAAATATATGAAGAATCCACGGTATTTCTTTTTTGAAAAACTGCTTGGGGGCCAAGAGATTATTTAAAAAAAAAAAAAAACCAAAACAAAACTGCATAGCTACCACACTGAGTATGGAAACTCAGAATACAAACCTGTTCCTTTTATTTTTATTTTCTTTGCAATCCCTCCTTAAGAATTTTCTTGACATACCATTTCAAACAAATTGACAGTTAGTTTGTTTTTAAGGACTACACGGTAAAGACTTGAAAACTATAGCCAGTGACTTTTTTTTCTGCTTGTTTGTTAGCATTAACGTAACCAGAAAGTTGACTGCATTTCTTAAGAATACCTCTCAGCCTCCTCTTGCCTTCCCGTTTGCTTTATTTTTGTATTTTTATTATTGGGCCTGGGGATTATGCATAGTAAGTAAGAATTAAAGTTGCTTTACTCTAGTTTGACCCTGTCAAAGACAATGTTTGAATGTTTGAGAGATATGTACAAAAAAATCCAAGTTAAAAAAGATGGGAAAAATGTCATTAAACATTTAGCCTTTCTTCCCACTGTTTATTAGCTACTGGAATTTACCAGTTAACTAAAAGAAAACACATTCATCAAATTCTTTTTTTCTTCCCCCCTCTCAATTACTCCAGATGTTGGGATCTTATAACTCCATCAGTCTTTCAGCTGCAAAGAGTTCCAAGGCAAAAAGAAATATGATCTCAGTAGGAAGGAAAAAAAAAACCCAACCCAAACAAGCAGACAAAAACCCAAAACCTCGCTTGGAAAAACTACCCTTTACATCATCTTTGTATTATTTAGCAAAACAAGGAGGCCCTGGCTACATTAGTTTTCCAACACAAGTCACTGAAGACATTTAAAATACATTTTCCAGTTTCAACTAGGGTAAGCCCTTAAAAAGAATACTAACTTGTTAGCACAAGCATCCAGCGAGCTTCCTGCCAAAAAATGTCTTTGGATGCAGCATTTCCTTTATCCTTTCTATTTGTTCCCTTGTAAGGGAAAGGAACCCTAAATTCAAAAGAAAATTTAGCTGTGAATACTTCAGCAAACTGGATTAACTGAATTCTGAGATATCGCACAACCAGTATACACCATTCACTGTACGTACACGTCCTTACAGGGAGAGCTAATGGCCTGGGTGAGTTAAGAGAGCTGTGCAAAGTGCATTTTGGCTTTTATACATTTTCAATAGTTTGTTTTAAGAAATACCAATGTGAACAGAAACATCATTTTTCTGCAAAGCAAAGCCTGGGCTAACGGCCAAGTACACTGTTCTCCATGGCTGAACTGTGCATTGACATTTCAGGGACAGAAGAGAAAAGAAGCAGTTACACCCCATTTTGAGCAGACATTAAGATTTCTGCTCAACTTGATAGATAGCAGTGTGTCAAGATTACTGAAAGAATGCTTCACAGGACTATGCCTTGCACCCCGTCTCAACTTTCACTTTGGGAATTAAGATAACACCATTATTTTCAACCTGTTCTTAGAATTAGATCCAATGGTCACATACAGATTTATGATGCCGAAGTCCCATTCTCAGACCTCATGAGTTAATGGGGTCCAACCGGCAGTGCGCTGAAGCATGTACTTCAGCACTTTTTCAAAGGAACCATAATTTCTGAAATTATCTTCTATTTCTCAGTGCTGCAGTGGTTTATCACCGAAACCTGACTAGATGACATTTGCTGGAGCGCTGCATGTTCTCACCTGGCGTGGTGGCCGTAGTACTTGGTGACACAGCAGTGTTGGTCTGGACTGTAGAAACACTGCCATTTGTGAGAACTCCACTTGGCACAGAAGTAGCTGTCAGCATCTTCGTTGTGCTTTTTGCTGGCACGAGGCTGACGGTGGGCAACACATCTGAGGAGTGAGGAGGGACCAAAGCATCATCTGGCTGCCCAGGCTTCTCGGTCTTCCCTGCGGCTGTCAAGCCCTGTGCTACAGGACTGGAGAATGTAGCCAACACTGATGGTTCTGCTGCAGATGTTCCTGTGTGGATCTGTAAAGGAAAAAGTTGCCTTAGTTTGACTTGAGCACTGAATGTCAGTTTTGTTTTACTGTGTTTAAGTTGCACTTCACCTCCTCCAGTTAGGGAGGCTGGAAAGTCCCTGGTTTGTTTTCCCCAGAAGCGGGATGTTTTACTGCTTCCTTTTCTCTCTTCTGAATTGTTTCTCCATGTTCTTCCTCCACAGCAGATAGGCCATTCCTAGCTCAGCTGAACACTGGTTAAGACCACGGATTTAACTACTGCCTCTTAAGTACCATGGCTGACGTACAGGACAGATCTAGGTTCAAAATTGCAGTGAGTGGAGCGAGAAGAACGGAGAGACGGCATAAGACAGAAGCGAAAAACAGGGACCAGGAACTGGGGTTCATTTGGGCCATTTATTTTGGCCATGTATTCCTTTTTCTAAAGCTGTGCAGTTGGCAAGCACAAAGCAGGAGGATTGCAATGGTATTTTTATGTAATAATCGAATCATTGCAGCAAGAGGAAATTTATTTCAGAATCACTCTTCAAAGCAAGGTGACCGGACACAAACAGTTCCCTGCGTGCATGCCGCAGGAGACGCTGCTGGGGCAGGGAGCCGAGCTTGCGGGTATAAAGTTTGCTCACATCCATACAGGATGATCCACTTTATTGAAAATAACCAAACTGGCAGGAACAATTTCCTTTCTTTCATCAGAAAATTCCTTTTACAGTACCTAGCCCCATTCCAGTTCTTTGCCTGGCAATACTCTTGACAATTCACCTTTCATCATATAGTACACATGTAACACATTTTGTTGAGCTAACTCTATTTTGAGAACATCTGCTAAATATTTAAAATTGAGCAATTTACCATCTTTGATTTGAGAAGTGTTTTGGAGCCAAATTGCCCACCACTACTCCCCACTAGCGGAGCTCATATTGGAGGAAATATTCTCAAGCTTTTATACCATGCTGCTGGCCTTCAGTCCAGGAAATGGGAGTTGTAAAAATGCTCTAGACCATGGTGGGCAAGAACCTAGCCAGTAAACAGGCTGAACTTCAGAAAACACTAAATGCCATTTATAAAAATGGCATCCTGCACATATTGCAACAGCCAGGCCAGGAGTGGCAATGAAGGCATCGAAGGCTTCTCTGCAAGAAGGTTTTTTGCAGTCTTGGGCAAATCTTTTCCTCTCCCCATCTCTCAGTTAACCTTCCCTCAGTCACAGAACGTAAAACATCTCAATTCATTTGTACGTTTGATTAACGTCTGAGCTTTGTTAGTGTTACAGACATAAGCTGTTTTTCTCTATTTGCTTGCATGTTGATGGGCTTCCTTTATCTTTAACAAAACTACGGATTCTTTGGAACAAAGACACAGGCAAAATCTGGCGTACCGCTGTGTTGCATCGGCGGCCTCAGGACAGCTGGCTGTCCCAAGCAGTACAGTCTTACACCCATCCATTAATCTGTTCAACTCAAGATACTGACTCCCTTTTGCCAAGTAAGCGAGTAAGCTAGAAATATTGACAAGATAAGAGCAGAACAGCCAGGCAGGAACTCGGACGCTCGAGATAGATTATTTAGGAACAGCACAGGAGCAGAAAGTCTCTGTGACTTCATACCACTATGGGAAACCACTTTTTGCTTCGCAAGAATCAACCCAGATGGGTCACAAGAACAGCTGTCACACACAGCGTGCAGGAGACCAGCATCCACCCGCTGGGCACAGCAACCGAGTCTCCACTTTGCTTGGCAATATTTTCAATGAGCCAGATGCTTCCTTGACTCACTTTGTAATACCTAAAAAACCCTTTACAATTAAGAGAGATCCTCTTCCTCCCAGAAGTCTTCAGGATGAATTGACAGCCAAATGTCTGCAGAGAGCTTGAATTAGATAAGCTTTGCCTGGGGCAACATAACAGTCAAAAATGCCTCTAATGCTTGCAAGCTGAGACATTTCTTATCTTTACTCCATAACTCTGAATTCTTTAAAGCAAAGAACAGAAGATTTCATTCTTGGGGATAAACAAGGAGCAGACTAGAAGTTTGCCAGCTGTCCTATCTTATTAGCTAGAAAATAGAAGTGGCATATTGGCCTGAGTGAACATAGGAGCGTCAGACGCTTTTGATTCCAACACTTAACTGCCTTTGGCCTGGGACAAGTGACCTGGTCTCCCTGCCCGAGAGTTCTATGTCTGTAAGATGGAACTAGAGCAGCTATGTGCATCAGAATCCATACTGAACCTAAGTTATTTGAAAGAAAAAAATACCTGTGTTCTGGAATTTTCTTTTATTTTTAATTTAAAATCAGCCTTACTTTGCTAGCCCAGTCTGAATTTCAGTTCAGATTGTGTCCTTAGTTGTTTGCACTAGGTGCCACGTCTGTGAAGACCCTTAAGACTCAAAAATGTGAGTAGTGTCAGAAACCATTACAGAATTAGTGCTGGCTGTGAAGAGAGACCTTTCTTCCTTCCTCACAGGGTAAAAAGCACCCAGCACTAGCAGAAAGCATGACAGCAAGAGGCAAACACTGCGCTTGCTAGGGTCAGTGGTAGCCAGAATTGTGAGCACAGGAATGAGCTCTCTGGCTCCGTTGTTACAACTCCACTTTAAAGGCTGCAGCCTTCTCCAGTCTGCCTGCAGTGCGGCTGCAGCAGCCCTTCTCATCAGCAACGCTGCACTTAAACACTTCTCCTGACTGGCGATTAAATGCATTTCTGTATCTTTAAATTGACAAGTATTTCTACAATGAGGCAGAAGGAAAAAATGGTGCCTGGAAAAAGTCACTCATTTTCATGGTAAAGCAGAAATTTCTCTTCCTTAGCCAAAGGCTGACGAGCAGGGTGCACTGCGGTTTATCCTGGTATGCTCTCCTTCACCCACCCCTGGTTCCACAGCATGGATACAGTAAAATAACAAATTAATGCTAACTGCACATTAGCAAGTGACATTGCAGATGGCTATGGAGCTATCAGAACTGCAAGAGGGAAACTAAAAGACAGTGAGGCAATGTTTTCCCAAAACTGCCACTTGACTTCTCCTGGAGTCTCTAGGAGCAAAGGAAAAGATTTGCCTTGCCACACATCCAATGCTCGTTAACAGAAGAGGACAACAGGCACATTAATTTCTTTCTCCCCTTTTAGAGAGGAGTTAAGAGCCACTTGGACCTCAAATTTCCTTTCCCATTCCCACTTCAGATGTTTGATGCTCCCAGGTATGAACTGCTTTGCATGCAGTAACGATCCAGTATTCTCCCCACCTGCCAAACCTTCTTTAAGAATACAGTGTTAAATGCATAGCATTCACCTGCTGAAGCCGTGTGCTTCCATGTACTGGACCAAATCTACCCCAGATGAAATTCTGATTTCAGCATGTATGTAACTTATTCTGGCCCATAACAACCCAGCTTGGAAAACTCCCTGCTTTAGCATCTCCCTCCTGCAAAGGTTGGCCATGTCGCAAGTACGCAGCCTTGAATGTTATATCCTTGGCCTAAATTAAACTGCTCTCAGATCAGAAATGCAAGGAGAGCTGCATAGCTTGCCTTGTATTTTGCCAGTGAAAGTCGGATGGTTCAATAACCAAGTAATTAGCCCAGGGCTGGGTAGAACTAGCTTCAACTCAATACTCCTGTTAAGGTCGATTTTTTAATTCCTCCTCATCAAAAACTGTCCTAGACCTCAAAAACGCAACTGCCAGGAATTCCATCACAGCCAATACATTTTAGTAAGAAGTTTTTATTTTGATGAACCTGCTTTTGTCAAGAGATCTGGACTTTCTTACTAGCAAAAACCAACAAGGAGAAGAAACACCTCCCCACCATACATCTAAAAGCGCACCTTAATGACTTTGGAGAGTGCTTCCTAAAGATGGGAAATCCTGGATACTCGGCAATATTCAGAAGCTGATTAAACTGTGTTATTTAACAATATTTGCAACCAGTTTACTGGACAGGCACTGAACAGGAATAATATGACAACTCATAATGCAATACCACAAACTGAACAAGCAGGGAGATAGAACAGCTGTTACCCAAAAGCAACAGAAGGCATTTAAGACTGGCTGCAAAGAAGTCTCTCCAGACCTTGCATGCGTAACAGCTGAGAGAACGGGGTCATTCTGTAAATCTCAAATATTAGGAGGAGGAAAGAACAGGCAGGGTGGAAATGCTGCAATACTGGAAGGGAGAGAGAAAGCTGAGATCTTAAGTCAGCCCTAAATGCTGTGGGGTTCTGGAAAATCAAACATTTGTAAAGTTTTAGCGCATGATTTCACACGCCACCGAGGCTGCCCTGGAGCTCTCAGCGGTGTCCCTTGGCTGCGCTCCACATCCTGCTCTGCAGGGTGGTGGCTCAGACCAGTCACAGCCCAACCTGGAACCAGCATTTGAATACAAGGGAGAGAAAAGAATTCAGTCAAGTTTCCAGAACAAGAATGTAACTACAGGAAAAGGCATCAGGCTTCAAGTGTGCCAAATCCTAGAAACATGGCAAAAGGTATTCAAAGAACAGTTTCACACAACAGAATTCTTTCTATTTCACCATCACAAGTGCATGGGCTTTCCTGTATTGTAAGGCTCAAAAAACTATTTGCAGACTTAAAAATACAAACATCATTTAACAATTGGTATGTGCCAATTTCTCTTTAAGACTAACATCTAGATTTACTAGATTAACATTGTACATGTTTGCAGTAGAGACTAAACTGGTTTCAGTCAACCAATGCCAATGTAAGCTTTTGTGGATTTGAGAAACTGAAGCAATCTTAAAAACAGAACAAAAAGGTTGGCATTAAGATGCCAACTCAAGCAAGCAGGCTGACATGAAAGTACATGGGAAACTCTATGTATGAGTCTGTAAAATAACCTATTAACTACCTCAATTCAGCACTCAAAGGAAAACAGCTTACTTTATTTTGTGGACCTAAAAAGGTACTTTTACGGGTAGCAGTTTTCAACTCTCAGGCACTTCCCATTGACATCACATCTCACCCTTCCTTCTCATCTGGCAAGCATGCTGTGTGATTATACAAAGGATAAGCATTACCATGACTTCCATCTCCCCTCACCTTCCCAAAGGCAGTTTATCCCAGCTAGGAAGGGGCGGGGGGCGGGGGAACCCTGCCACCCCCACCACACAAATAAAAAACCCAACCCTTGGCCTTGCCTTGTTGACGGGAGGCTGAAAACAGGCATCCAGAAAGGTATGCTGTCACTTAAGCAGTTTTAAATCATACTCTACATAAAGCAAGATTGAGCAGAAGGGTGACAGCTGTCCAAGAAAGCCTCGTTTCAGCCCCAGCAACCACACTTACCTGTACCAAGCCAACACCATCCGCATCACTTGATCTATTCACATTATTGCTTTTAGGAGGGAACAGGCTTTTGGTTTTCTGCTCTCTTGGATTCTGTCCATTTGTCAGTGAGTCTTTCTTTTGATTTGGATGGCCTTCAGGAACAGGCTTGTCTGCCACTAAGCGCCTCAGTACTTGATCCTTCAAGCGTTCTGCTTCACTTCGGCTCCTTCTAGATTTGCTGTCTGATGCTCTGGCTGCAGCCTCCCTGCCAGGGCTTGCTGCTATATCCCTTTTCAGGGGTTTCACCCTGTTACCTGCCAAGCTCCGCTTCTGGAACACCCGCAGTATTTTCTTCCCCTGGACAGGGATGCCCCAGTCCAACCACTTGTGAAACAAGATCTTCGTATCATCTTCTGCTTGAAACTTTAAGAAGTGCTCTGTGCTTTTTGATTTCTTTAAAAACACCAAAACAGAATCAGAAAAGCCAGTCCTGTTTGCCTGACACATGCCAGGCATAGTGCAGTTCACCTGGATGCACATATTTTCCAAGAACCAAAAGGCATCACAGGTGGGGCTCTGGCAGCAAGTGGTCTGACAGGACCATACAGTATGAAACCCTTCCAGAAGCTGTAAATGGTGATCTTCCCACGATCTCAAACGGCCAAACAGGATCTTCCCTGGCTCGCATTTAAATCTGTTCCAGTTTGCATCTGAGAAAGGGGAGAGAAGACAAATAAAGACAATTCTCAATCCTTTAAAGCAGTGGACAATAGATCCTCATCACTATTGTCAAGGTGACTTCAGGGCATAGGAGTAATGTAGGACAGAGTGCAGGACAGTAAAATGGGGGCTCTTTGGAATCTATACCTGGCCTCAGTGCCCAGTACTCGCACAAGATTTTAAGCAATACTCTCCTACCAATGGGACCACAACCCTTTTTGATAGCAATGGAGCTAAATGCATCTCCAACAAAAGACGTGAAGACAGAAACATTCCTGTTTCAGAGAAGACTAAGGCACAGTGAGACTAAGGTTACACAGCAAGTTAAGAGAGAGAAATTGAACCCAGGAATCCCAAGTGCAGCTTCTTATTCTAACCAGTAAACAGCATTGCCTCTCTGCCCATAGTTTGCCTTAAAGAACAACTCTGGAAACAGTGACACTGCCTTGGTTCATAGTGTGAAGGCATTTTTTCCTCTTCCATCCTGATGATTGAGGTCAGTCCGTTATTTTGACTGAAACCACTCCATTCGAGAAGTCATTACATCTTCTAGCACAGAGGTCTACAAGGCCTCTTCTCATCACCTGCTCCACCATAGTGCTTTCTATAGCAGAAACTACCTATCAAACATGTTTTTTAAGAGTCAAGTTACTTCACATCAGCAGTAAAGCAACAACTGCTTTGCATATAGATTTTTTTTTTTCTTTAGCATGAAAAATTAGAGTGCTTGCAGGGATCAATGGATTAAAGGCTTCCAAAATTCAGAGCTCTGCAGATTAAGGACTCCCTAAAAATAGACTAATGACCTACGGGACTGTTACACTGTGCTGTGTTCAGCATCCAAGGGATAATAGGTCACTGAAAGATTACTTTACAAACTATGTTGCTGGACCCTGAGTAGTGCAGCTGGAGACTCATGCTCCAGATTTGGCTCCCTGCCTGTCAAGAATGGAGTTCTTGAACACAACACAAATGGGAAACACTTTTCTCCATTAAAAAAAAAGAAGTTTGCATTTTCTTGACAGCATATAAAGAAAAGTTTAGTAACATCTTACTATTCCACTGCCTCTGAATAAATACAGACTTCATGTTGCATTATACCCACAATCCCCACAGTGGGAGCTAAACAAATGAGTAAGTATGATGTAGAGGCTAGAACAGTAGTACTAGAACAGCACAGACAGATGTAGGTGTCTTACACTCTGATTGTTTTAGGCTACTTGAAGCATTTGACTTCAGGATTTTAAACTCCAGCCACAAAGACATTTAACGTCACACTACTGAGATGGCAAAGAACTCTGACCTTCTGCATCAGAGATAATACACAAAGTTAGTGATAGCAAAGTGGTGTGACTTTCCACTTCCTCCTGCACCATCTCCAGGTGTAGGAAGAAGGGGAAAGTCACAGCACTTTATAACCTTGTATAACTTGGATAACCTTGTATGACCAAAGCAAGCAACTGGGGAAGAGAGAGGACATATTTCTCTGTAATTCAGTTATGCCGACCACCACAGTAGGTGCAACAGCCTTTCTACTCCTGATCATTGAAGGTAACTATATACAATGATTTTCTCACCTAGAATGGATTAGCCACTTGTTTAACACAAAGGACGATGGCCATATTCATGTACCTTTTGAGCAGAATCTTGCTACGCCAAGAATCTAAATGCAAAAAGGGAACTCACACCACCACGAGGAAAAGTTTGGTTTTGAGACATCAGAAAGCAGGAAGCAAAAGTGTTATTTATAGCTTATTGTGAAGCCAGGTCAGCAAAGGCAGTTTGAAGACAAGGCTCCAGAAAGCTAGCAACAGCTGCAACAGAATGCCCTCGAGATCCGTGACCAAGTCATGGGAGACCAGAGCTCCCTGTGCGCATCTGAACCCACAACTGCACAGAAGAAGGGGGAAGTTCTTCACTTGAGAAACATCCAACTGCAACACGTAAATGAAACTGCTTATGTTCAACAGAGACCAAAGTTGACAACAGCAGCTTTAAAATCAGCACCATCCTTGCCGCACTTCATCAACACACAGCACTTCCTTCGAGAGCAAGCAGACGGGCAACCTGTCTGCCCGGGGCAACAACCGACCTCATTACACTCTGAAGTGCTTGGACTGACAGTCACCCTGACACGACTGCGTGCACAGGCAAGGACAAGCACCTGGCACTAACCTGACGGGCCTGGAATTAGGACAGTGGAGGGTGTACACACAAAGATGTGTGTGTACTTGCCGCGCCCTCCCCCTCCCCCCCGACTTAGAGAAACAAGAAACAAATGGAAGAATAACACTATTGCTGTAAATTTCAAGGGAATCTTATCCATTAAGACTCAGTTTAGGCTGAAAAAAATTCACTTTCTGTTAAAGGTGACGCACTGTCCCTAATATATCCTGGGCAAAACGGAAATGTGCTGCCCCCCACATACCTAAAATCCCTCCTCCTCATCGACCAGTCCTCATCCATCCCTCCTCAGATGTCAACCCTGGCTCATACATCCCACTCAAATTAAGGCTTGACACAAAACCCAGTGAAATTCAGCAGCAGCTTTCTAGTAACAGGGCTTAGAACTGGGGCATAAACAGAATGGGGCATATTTGAAGAAAAGTGTTCCCAGATAAGATCTCCCTTCTGAAAAAATCACTATATACATTTTAGATGAGTGAATATAATACTTGTGTAAAACCTGAATCCCCATAAGCATCTCCTAGGTATGCCAGAGCCATGACTTAGCCCAGATGACACAACACTACCATGCTGAGAGCATTCTGCTTCTCTTTTAACCCACTGCTAAATCAAGATGCAGAGATTTGGATTGTATTTTGGTGAGATTAAATTTCCAAAACTCTGCTATCGCCCACCTAGAACATGTGTATTTGAAATTAGTCAGTATGGTTTCTGAACTGCTGTACATGGATAGCTTAAAACTCAATTAATTCTTAGGAACAATACAAGTGAACAGGCAACTCACAACACACCAGCCCAGCATTCTAGATATATGTTTTCCACAGAACCATACTGATTTTCGTCTACGCAAATCCCAAGGTCTTCAGTGGGCATCACACATTCACAGAATTTCAAGTGCCATGGCAGAAAGCAGGGCTCCTCAGTCCACACTTGCATTTCACCTCTGGAAAGATGAAATATTTTATGTCGCAAAAATCCAGCTGGCCTGTTCACGAAACACCTCCTCCCTGAGAGTCCTGCAGGAACACGCTACAGGCCAAACAAATCGTTCTGACGAGAAACCACACGCTGCTATTTGCAGTCTTGCAAACGGGGACCTCCACAGAACCCGGTGCCGCATCCGCACTAAGTGCACATGGAGCTGCACCAAATGAGAGAAGGCAGCTGTGAGTACCGGCAGTTATCAACACCTGCCTACTGAGAGAGCAGCCTGTTCAGTCCCTTCCAGGTCCTTGCGCAGGAGTGAGGCAGCCACACACGGCAGCCATGTACAGGAACTCGCAGGGTGGGTCAGGCCAGTAAATCCAGTCACTGACAGCGGCAACACCAGCAGCTTCAGAGAAAAGCTCAAGAAACCTGTCAGCAGGAACGTCCCTGAGGATGAGTTCCCTCCTAAGCCCCAGCAGCCTACCCAGCCTAGCACAACACAAACTATATAATGCCTGCACAATGGGTGTGCTTAGTCACTTCTTAATATTGTTTTTGTCATTTTTTTTTCTTCCCTAGTACATCAGGACAAAAAACACTGCTCTTCTCAGCAGCTTGAGAGTCCCTGTCCCAGCAATGCAGCTCACAGCTTTGCTGAACAGCAGGGGAATGGAATGGACAGGAACAGTTTCTATTAATAAGCTCAGGTTCACAGACTTGCTCAGGCAGTTAATCCCTCCTGATATCAGATTAATGATTAAAGACTTGACTCTATAGACTTTGTAAGTCTGTCACATGTAACCAATTATGTCAACACAGCTCCTCTTACGCAACTCCACCTGATCACACCAATTTCTAGGCAGCCATAATTCCTCTTGTGTTTAACAAACTCTGCTGCCCAAGTGAGACAAACAAGAACAAAAGAACACTCTACAACGGAAAAAGTGGCAACGTCAGGATAACTATGTCACATACAATTATATTTATTTCTGCACACGCATCAGCCTTCATGGTTTTAACTCTCCCTAGCAGATCAGCCCCCAAACACAGCAGCACTGTCTGAAACACCCTCTAGGAGTAACACAGGATTCACAGCTCTAGCTCTACACTTTTAAGATATTACTAAAGACAGGAAACATCTTTAGATGTAGACATCTAAAGTTAGACAGCCCAGTCTACAAGAGAACACGCGATCCACCTGACACACTGTCCAAACACACTGTGTTGAGAACCCTTTGCTAGGAACAGGAATACAAATATGTCTTTCCAGGTTCTAAATTAGCTGATTAAGGTCACACAGCTCATTAGCTTAATCAAATTTGTCACTCAGTAAGTGTCCAGGAAAGCCTGGACAGAGAGGCTGCAGCAGCCTACAGAACATGTCCACATAACCGAGAAACAAAGCAAAACAACCCCCCTTTTCAAATCTTGCTACCATTAAGACATAGCAACCTTCCAGCAAAAAGAAAGCAGCTGGCAGCTGTCACACAGGTTGATATATACTGAGGTCACCACTGCCTCGAACCTATAATTCACTGCAACTTGAACAAAGAAGGGAAAAAAGGCACAGAACAAACTTTCTTAATTAAGATCTGGTGAACACTGCATACACGCATGGGAAAAATACCACCTCTTGGTGAAGATGGGGCCTCAAAACACTCACGGGAACTTAACATGTCTCTCTGAAAAGTCAGAATCTGAATTTTTTAAACAAAAAAAACAAGCCACACAATACACTATGTGAAAACTTCCATACAAGTCAGTAATTTGGTTATTTACTTAAGCAGGAGGTTGCTTACTCAAGTGTGAGCAGGAAATAAAAAAAACCCACAAACACGACAATTGCCTGTAGGCAAACAGAGATTATATACTGCATTTGGGGAGTCTAAAACATTTAATGGCTAAAAAAATGTTCTTGTCTTCCCAACTTGCTTCAAGTATTCCTTAGATGAAATTATTTTCCAGAATATCATTTGTTCATTTTGCAGAAGAAAAGCTCAGAGAAAGCCCTCTATGAGATACAGGCAAGTGCCTGAAAGCCAGCACTGCATCTGAAGATGCACAACAATAGCTGCGTGACAGACACCCTGCTGCTGACCACTTGGTTATGTAAAATAGCAGTTGGGGGGACCCTTCATGCCCCACATCTCTCCTACCCTTTTGACACCTCATTTAATAATTGTTAAAGGTGAGGGTTTGTTTGCTTTTAAACCATCTACAAAGTCTAGCAGCAAATAATTTCCCTTTCCTCTCACAATTCTCCTCTCCTTTTAAGCAAGTGAGAAGGATAAATATCATTAAAAATATAGACACAGTCCCAGAGTCAACAGAAGAATCACCTGCTGGGGAGCACAAGGCACACAGGCAAGCGCACACGTAGAACAGCTGCAGACGTCTCAGCTCCCTTGCAGGTTTTCCCAGGCAGTTTTGTGACAGAAATTGGGTGCTAATGCTGAGCTTGGCTTCCAACCTCTTCTCCATGGCCTTTGTGGGCAGCAGCAGGGTTCTGGAAACAAATAAGAAGCACAAAATATTGACTGGCAATTGATACGTTCTTGCCCAGATCCAGTCGACACTATAAAGAGAATGGAGCATTTGCAGAGGAAAGGAATGTCTTATCTTATCTGCTGTGACCTAGTCTGGCTGCTGCTAAGTAACTATCAACGTACGATACTAAAATGAAATATGTAGTAGCAAAGTTTCCAGCGCTGAACCGCAGCAGGTCATCACGACGGCCTTGTCTCATCACCCTTGTGACTTCTTCCTCCACCACTTTCAGTGGCAAAATATCTAATATCACAGTCTACTGGATTCCAAAGACGTATTTGGGAAATTTCAGTTTCAAAGATGCCTCAGGCAATAGACACCCAGCCCGTGCCAGGAGCATAACACAGGCACTGATAAGCCCAGCACATCTGCCTGGCAATGTCATCGCTTGCATGGTGGTGCTGGCTGGTACCAGCCAGAAACAAAGAGAAATGAGAACACAGCAGTGCTAAGAAACACTGATGCTCCTTCTCAGCCCTTCTTATGCCAAAGGGTCTTTTACAGCCTCATATGTTACCAAAATCTAAATTAGCCCTAGGCAATGTGATATGAAAACATTCATTATTCTACAAGTAATAAATCTTATCTATTTTCAGAGAGTAATAACGCATCGTTAGGCACAAGGAGTTAAATCTGCCATTTCTGAAGACTCAGCAGGGAGCACCGTTACAGACCTGACTATCTGCGCTGCTTATAAAGACTCGTCGCTCGTTAAACCTGGAGGGAATTTCACTCGGCTGCCC